AGACCAAATCCGTCTGCTCCCTCTGGCCGGCCCCGGCCGCTCGCTCGCTCCCCGCTTCCGTGAGGCCTGGAAGCCTCCCCAAAAACAATTTTAAATGTATTGATTTTCGGTTTCCCCTGACATATTGTCATCTTTCATATACCCGTAATGCCGAGAAACATTTTAGGACGTAGAGCAGGAATAACGGAATGATTTATACGCTCCGAGTAGTGTTTTTTTTTCTTCTTCTTCTTCTTCCCAGACTAAAGCAGAGGAAATAAATTGCGTCTCGTATCTCTAACATCAGTGCTCGGGAGGGATTATAGGAAAATTGCCACGTGTTATTGACATGGACTTGCAGGGAAATAATAGCTTTTCGACAGATGTAGTCGGTAGGGAAAAAAAAAAAAAAAAAAAGGCAGGAGAGTGGAGAAATTTAAAAATGGAAATTCTGCTGTCCCCAAAAGCTTCCTCATTTATTTATAGGGGTGTTTTACACCGAAATACTGCCTGCCAACCTATTCGCCTCCGAAGGACGTAAATCCCAGCCGCGTAGGAGCAGGGATTGACATTTTACTTGAAAGAGTCGCAGCCCCGCGGGACGCGATCTGCCCCACGCGTGGGCGCTTATCGCGGCTGGCACCCAAGGGCACCAAATTCAGGAGCGCAGAGCTCCAGCGTGGGGCTGCTTCATTGTGCCAAAGCCGCCGTGTTGTCAGAGCCTGGAAAACCTGGAACTACAAAGAGCCGCTGATAACCAGGCGATTTCCCAACTTGTCGTGTGAAGGAATTCGGCTCGGGGAACGAATCAAAGAAAAACCCACCAGAAATAATAGATGAGCTCGTGCCAAACCACCGTTGGTGTTAGGTGCGAGCGGTGAACGTGGTCGTGTCCAGATCGATTTTCTACGGGCTCCGTATCTCAGGAGCTGTTGCACGATTAAATGTTATTTTTGGCCGTGTTTCTGCCCGGAGCGTTGTGCACCAAAGGCTTTCGAGGGGGAAATTTGCGGAGGGAGGAGAAGGATAAAAAGCGAGGCTCGGAGCGATAAAAAAAAAAAAAATAAAGATGGGTCAGAGTGATAAAAAAATTCGTCATAGAGGGGAAATTGGACTTTGGGCAGAGATGATGCGTAGCATTGAGGATCAAGGTTTTTATTTTTGGCGGAGAGATTTGGAGATCTTGTTACTGGTGTTGGCGGGGCTGTAATCCCTGCAGCTCGCGCTCTCAGGGAAAAAAAAATGGAGAAAAAGGAAAAAAAAAAAAAACAACCAACAACAGTTGTGATTTTCAGTGTTAGTGCTTGAGGTCAGGGCTAACAGAAAAAGGCCTTTCCCTTCAGATTTGGGTTCGCCGGGGAGAGAAAGTGTGGGCTCGGCTTTGGGCGGAAAAGCGAGGAAATCGGGGCAGGGCGCCCCAAAGTGTTTTACAGCAGCGCGGTGACCTCCAGCCGGGGGTGCAAGGGGAAATCGGGGGGGTGGGAGCAGGGGAAAGGAGGCGAGAAGCCTCCCCCGTCTCCCTCCCCCTCCTCCCCAGACACAAACACAATAAAAGGCAGAAGTCCCCGAAATTGCGGGTGTCTGGACGCAGTCTGCAGAGGACACGCTGCTCCCGCTGCCTTTGTCGCATGGGGACACACCTTGCTGTAAAAGGCTTTGTCCCCAGACTAAAGACCCAAGACTTCAATGGGGGGCGGGGAGGAAACCCAGAAAAAAAAAAAAAAAAAAAAAAAAAAAAGGAGGGGGAGAGAGCAATGCGGAAAAAAAAAAAAAAAAAAAAAAAAAAAGGAGAGAGAAAAAAAAAAAAAGACACACAAAAAAACACATAACCCCCCCAGATTCGTCCTCCAACCAAAGTCCTCGCCCCGGAGCTGGGGATGAGGGGGCACAGGGCTATTGTCCCACAGGTATTGCCCCCACTTTGTCCCCCTTTCCCCCCCCCCCGGGAGTGTTTAAATTTCTGCACGTTTTTGTTTACTTGTTTTGTATACTGCCACCAAGTGACAGAAACTTGCAATCCAGCAATTTTGCAATTTGGTGCCCTTTTTTTTTTTTTTTTTTTTTTTTCCTCCCCCCTCTTTCCGTTTGTGTAAAAGGGCGGGGGGGGGAGAGAGACACAACACCGGGGGTGGGCGACAGAGGATCAGACGGGGAGGGGAGAGGAAAAATAACTCTGCTCCGCTGGGAGAGGGTGCAAACGCCTGCAAAACGTTATCCCGCCATAAAACCCCACTTTGCAAAGAAGTTTTAGTCCCTTTAACATTGAGGCGTGTGTGTCCCCCCCCCGGCCCCCTCCTCGCTCGTCCATAAACCCCTGCCTGAGCTGAACCAAACTTTCTAAAGTTTCTCAAAGCCATTCAAAACTCCTCGGTTGCACTTTCTGCTAATTCGAGAGGTTTTTTTCTTTTTCTTTCCTTTTTTTTTTTTTTTTTTTTTTTTTTAAGGTCTTAAGCGCCTTTCGTTCCGTGTTACCGTGTTTTAAATCATTCCAATGTACGTGAACTCATAAAAATAGATAAGGCATGTCAACTCGGGAACGGTATTTTCCCCCTGAAAATATGAGTGTATTTAAGCAAATCCTGAAATATTAAATTGTTGCTCGATTAAAGACGATGTAAATGTATAAATTCGCCAAAGTGCTCAAGAGGTTGTCTCCAAATATATAGTTTAATTCTGCCTAAGTGATCGCCTCTAAAAAAAAACATCATTAAGGCAACTATTATTGTTTCCTGAATTATTATTTTTTTTTCTTTGCGACCTATGATTAAATTTCTGCCTTCATATCTGCAAAGAATAAAGTGTAAAACTGCCTATAGTTAATGACAACAATTTTTCACTGTTGAGTTATCCTTGCGGAACGTAATAACATCGTACTCCTTTTTATTTTTAATCTGTATACCGAGCATAAGCAATCGCGTTGGTACATGTATGTACGTATGTTTCCATGTAGGTGCACACACAAATGCAGCAAAACAGCGTTTTTTGGGGATTTTACGCCACCAAGTATTGTCCGTGACGAGCGTGACGTCACGAGTGCCACTGTCCTTTTCAGTTTTGCCATTTTAATTTTTCCAGCGGGATTTTAGGGAATGTTTCCAGTCCGTCGCGAAAAGCAACCCCCAAAGGAAACCAAAAACAACAACAAAAAAAAAAATCAGATTTTTTTTCCCCGCTGCAACGCCCCGCTCGGGACACTGCTACCTGCGGGCACGCCATGACGCCATCCCAACCCTCCGCCCGGCAAAATTGGGGCAAAAAAAAAGACATTTCCATGCATGAGGCCGAAGTAAAAAAAAAAAATAAAAAAATCCACCCACTCGCCCGCACTTTTAGCGGAGGAGCCAGCAGGAATGTTTCGCAGCCGCCAGCCACTTCCCTGTAAACAATGCACCACTCAGCGATTTCACATCTCCTAAAATATTGGGGCTTTCTCGCTTTTTTTGGCTCCCCTTCCTAGCGCTGGAGATGCTTCTTGAGCTTTTGGCGTGGAGCTGCAGCGCCCGGGGTTTTTGCACCCGCGTTTGCGGGAGCCCCCGGCCGGGCTCGGTTTCGGTGCTGCCTCCTTTGGATGGGCCGGGGGTCGCCAATGGATCTGGGGAAAGGAGAAGAAAAATGAAATAAATCAAACCCGCAGATTAGACAGAATATTTCATAAAGAAAAGCCTCCTCCACCCGTCGCAATATCGACGCGGAGAAAATATAAATAAACGCTTAAAAGTGTCAGAAAGTGCTTTCAAAGCTCGGCAGAAAGAGGGAATAAATTTCAGAAGTAGGAACACATTAATTTCTCTTCCCCACACACCTCCCAGCTTCCTGTTTAGGAGACATGTGTTTTGACAATTTCCAGAATTCTGCCTTTTTTTCTTTCTTTTTTTTTTTTCTTTTTTCTTTTCTTTCTTTCTTTTTTTTTTTTTTTTTCACCCCATTCCTTTCCCTGGAAATGTGTGCAGAGAATGAGGTGAGGAGAAAAGCCCGGCTCCAGGGTATTTCCCCACTATTATTTTTATTATCATTGTTATTATATATCTATCTATATATATAGAGAGAGATTTTTTTTCCGCATTGCAACTTGGAGTCGCCCTGAACTTTGCAGGTCGCTCGAAGGGCACACTTTCCTAACCCAACTCTGAGAATAAAACCAGGACAACAACAACACGTTTAAGGCCATTTCCCACCGCCACGCAGCAAAAAATCAATAGGAAAAGGCGAAGGCAAAGAATTGCCTCGTCTGGGAACCCCATCCGCGGGGCGGTGAATGCTCCCTTCATTATCTACCTAGGGCGAAACTGGGTGTTGCGGAGCTTTGCATTAAAAAAATCGCGGAAACGGCGCTGATTTCTTTTTCTTTATTTTTTTTTTCCTCATTTTATTCATTTATTTATTTATTTAAAACCCCATCTTCTTGGAAAGATATGGGTGGCGGTAGGGGAAAATGGGTGTTTTCGCTAATTATGGCTCTGTGCATCTTTGTGCAGGAGATGCCTTTTAATTGGCAAATAAACCTCCCAAATAGGCCACCCTCTTCAGATCGCGCTGTCTGCAGCGCCGGAGTAAAGTTTAAACAGTCTATCAAGCTCTGAATGGAAGTATTCAGGGGAAGGAGAGATTTCATCTTCTTCTCCTTCCCTCTCTCTCTTTTTTTTTTTTTTTTTTTTTAATCAAGAGCTGCCCAGACTCTGACTCTGAGGTTGTAATTACAGAGAGCAGAGAATAGACACGGCTCCAAAACAATGCGAGCCATTTCAGGCTGGGGGAGAGGTAGCCCGTGGCGAATATGCTCCACATAAACCTCCAGGAGTTTGTTGTTGTTATCGTGGTGCCCTTTTTATTTTGTTATTCCTTTTTTTTTTTTTTTTTTTTTTTTTTTTTTAAGGTGTTATTTACAGCAAAAGCAATATTTGACTAGGAAAGCCCTGTTGTAAAGAGCAGGAATAAATTCCCAGCGAAAGACCCAAATAAATAATTAGGACTCACGTGTGCCATAAATGTCAAGTTAAAAAAAAAAAAGGGGGGGGGGGGGAGCAAAGGAAAGGGGGGGAAGGATGAGATAACATATACAAGGTGAAATCAGTTTAAATAAAAAGGCTTTTAATGGCATCACTTGTATTTACCTCTAAGAGCTTCAAGTATTTAATCAGATGTGAGCACGCAGCTTTATGGCCAGATGTCAGTGGCGTGTACGCGCGTGTGCGCCTTGCACACTCAGGGCTGTGGGCACATCTAGGAGGGGGCATCGCCCCTCAGATGCACAGGGGTGCCCCCCCCCCCGCCCGCCCGCATCCCAAAAAGAGGCGTTTTGCAAACACTTGGCATAACACCCCCACCACCACCATACTTGTACCATTGGGATTTTTTTATTTTTTTTTTACTCCGGAGAGGGGGGGGCACGTTGGGGCTCGGTGCCCTCGGTGTGTCCCGGTTCCCGGGCATGGCATGGCCGCGGGGGGGGGCCCGGCTACTCCCCGGGCCGGGCTCGGACCCAAGTGGTCAACGTGGCTGGAACAAAACAGCAAATCCCACCCAGCCCCTCTTCAAACAAACAACCCGCGGCTCGCAGGGCTGCGCAGAATGCGAGCCTGACAGTAGCGGTTTATTAAGGCTGTAGGCTGTTTAAGGAGGGAGGGGGGGACACCGATTTGGATTTGTTTCCTTTCAGTAATTACTGAGGGATAGAAAACACATGTGTTGGGCTTGCATTTTTTTGAAGCCTTTTTCTAAATCAGTTCATCAATTCGCTAATTATAGCTGGGAGGGGGGAGGAAATCTCCCGACACATATTTTTTCTTTCTCCCCCCCCCCCTTTCCCTCTCCTCTCCCTCTCTCCCTCTCTGTGTGAACATCAGAGTGGGGAGAAGGGGGAAAAAAAGGGGGGAATATGGCTTATGAGTGGTGAATGTTATTTCAGATTTCTATGGGCGCTTTTCTTTTCTGGGAACAAAGAGCAACTCCTATTAAAGAGCTACTCGAAGACTTGTACATATTTCTACTGCTGTGTAGCACTTTTAATAAAACATCTGTTCTTGCTTCTGCTGATGAGTTTACATAATTGTTTGCAGACCAATTTAACCAGAAAGCGCCCCACATATTCCCTGTACATGTTTTCATGGGGGAAAAAATAAATACCTTTTTGGTAGTGACATATCTTGATGAAATACTTTCGAGAAATCCCCAAACTGCTAGAAAATATCAATGGGAAAAAAATATCCCGTGCATTCAAAACGTGAGACTGAGGAATTGCAGTGAGCAAAACATACTTTAATGATGCCTCATTTGTATTTGCAGGAGCTTTTTGGGGTGGCTGTGCTTTTTTTTTTTTTTTTTTTTTTTTCCTTCCTACCCTCTCCTCTCTGTGTCTCTGTTTCCTACCCAGAAACCTGATTTTTAACGTGGGGAGAGGATTCTATTTTAAGTTTCTTTACGGCAGCTGGTTTCTGTTCACTATAAATCGACCAGACTTTTAAGACTTGCCCTCTGTTTAGAGAAGTAATAAAACACTTAACTTTCTCGACTCCTAGTCACACGGTTATCACACAGGTCTCGGATACAACAGCCCCCGAGCACCTATACAAAAAAAAAATAATAATAAAAAAATGTGTGTGGGGGGAGCAAAAGCAAAAAGCAAATAAAATAATAATAATGATTAAAAAAATAGCCCAGAGGGTGTCCTTCCAGCACCAGACTTTCCTCCAAACTTTGGTAAGGTTGGCGTCATTATAAATGCCCTTCCATAGGTGAAACTCCCCACGTGAATCTGCCCTAGCAAAGGTCCAACCCATGGAGCTGGAGCTACTTTTAATTTACTCGCCAAATTGCATTGGGCTGTAAGCAATACATAAGGTAAGACAACACGCCAATAACTGCAAAGCCCTCATTCATCCATCTATCCGGCCAGTCCATTTGTTGGACCCTGCAACAATTTAATATCTGGAAGCAGCTTTCAGGGTTAGCGTTGGTTTCCAAAGTAACCATGCCCTGAAAGGACTGGGTTCAGAGATGTGCCCATGGCTAACAATATTTGCAGCACAGCCCTGGCTCTCCAGATATGTCCAGCTGAGAGTGCCTCTGGCTTGGGGGGGGGGAGTTAGCATGTCAGCAGAAGGCGGAAAAAACCCTCTGTAATTGCATTTCTTTGCTACTTTCTCTATTTTCTCCAGTTTGTTGGATTCCATAAATTCCCGGGTAGGCTCTGCCAGAGGGCTGGGGGAAAGGGGAAAGGAAGAGGAGGGGAACGAAAGCAAACTGAAGTTCTCTTTTTTGGGGAAAACGCCTGTAAATCTTCCCCCATGTCCATGAGTCCTATATCTGTACTGGGCTGGCTACAAGTTGGGCAGCCTAAGGTAAAGTCAGGCTGCGCTCCCTAACAAGGTACATGTGCTAAATAACATGGTGCATACTTGCAGCTATCTCCTTCTTTTGGTTAGAAACTTTATTTTTTCCCCTAGTGACACTCAGGGGAAGCCTTAACGTTATAGAAGATGAATACACGAGCTTTTTTTTTTCAGTTGTAGTCTCGTTTATGGTTTTATTGCTACCATTGATTACTTTGCTTTGTTACACAGAGGAAAAAGAGCATAAAATCCGTTGGCATCCGGGTTCCTGTTATAGCTGGGGAAAAAATATACAGCCCCCCCCAACCCTTCTTTGTCAGCTAAAATCTTTTAGAGATACATCGCTAAAAGGAATTAAGTCCATTGACTGAGAGCAGGACAAACAAATGCTCTCAGTTTCGAATTTGAGTGTGCACCTAGAAACCCTCCTCTCAGCAGCCCCACGCACCCTTACATTTAAAATAAAAATGTGGACACGAAGGAGGTTTAAAAAAAAAAAAAAAAAAAAAAAAAAAGAGAGGAGGCCAGGGTTTCCCCGCCATAATTGAATTTTTAAATAGGAAGCCACCAGAATGATAAAGATACCTCGCAATATTTACAGATCAGCAGGTATGTTTTACATTTAAGGGGCAATTTATGGCTCTAGATTGAAATTAAAATTAGATTAGCTGTCTTCATTTCAATTAGTTCTAGGTGCAATCTACCCAGAGAAGATGTAATATAATCCCCTCTTTCATCTAACTAAATATTTGCAATAGAAGTTTCCCAATCAGTTGTAAATATCTGAAACTATAAATTTCTGCAAACATAAACACGAGGTTGCGTCCCCAGCCCAGGCTCCCAATTGCTCTCAATTACGGATAGAAGTGCTCTTTTTTGTTGTTGTTGTTGTTGTAGTTGCTGTTGAAAATGTAAATATCCTCTAGCATTGCCACACGTTGAAAATTAGCAGGGAAACGTGCAGGAGAGAAATGTCAAACTGCACTAGAGGAGAAACCTAACTTCCAGACTAACCTGAGTTCGCAATGTTGTGTGTTTCTTGTCTGTCTTTTCTTTTTTTCCCCCTCCCAAAGACATACTTTAGGAATGCTCTGAAACACGTTATCAATTCAGAAGTCGCCATGTTTTCCCCCTCTCTTTATGTAATATTTTCTCATCAGGAACACAACCATTTGATTCCATAATATTGACCAATGCTACATGAGAACAAGACAAAAAAAAATCGGGATAATTTATGGCTTAATATTCTGTGGACATCTGAGATTTATTACTGTGAATTCTGAGCTATTTTATTACAAGATATTAAGCAAACATTTCTTAAAAAAAAAAAAAATCAAAAAGAATGGAAAAAAAAAAAAACACAAAACAACACAACACACGGTGCCTCCAAACCCCAGTGTCCATGGGGCAGAAAAAAGGGGGGTGTGGGGGGAGAAAAGTTGAGGCTGGGTTGGGAAATTTGCGCCAGCTCCCACTTGGCCGCAGCTGCCTCCGGGGCAGGACCCAGCGATGGCTCCGGGAGCGCCGCCACCCCTCGGCCCCCCCCGGGCTCCCCGGGGCTGCTTGGGGGGTTTTGGGGGTGCAGGACTTACTTTCAATGCACACTTAGTTTCAACTAGGGAATCAACAGAAGCAAAAGCAATTTTTCCCTTTTTGACACCCGCCTCCCCATTGGCTCCCCCCGGGTCAGCTGACTTTGTCATTTTGTCTGTCCTGGAGCAGAGCCTTCCCTATAACAATCTAGTTCAGACTACAAACTGGAGACAGAAATAAATATTAAAGAAATCACACAGCCAGGTATAGAGGACGATATGAATTCCTATTTTACAAACCCATCTTTATCCTGCCATCTAACCAGTGGCCAAGAGGTGCTTCCCAACGTAGCCCTCAATTCAACTGCCTATGACCCTGTCAGGCATTTTTCTACTTATGGAGCAGCCGTTGCTCAAAACCGGATTTATTCTTCTCCTTTTTATTCACCGCAAGATAATGTTGTGTTTAGCTCCAGCCGAGGACCTTATGACTATGGATCTAATGCTTTTTACCAAGAAAAAGACATGCTTTCTAGCTGCAGGCAAAATTCTATGGGACATAATACACAGACATCAATCGCACAGGATTTTACCAGTGACCAAAACAGGAACACTTCGCAAGAACAAAAAACTAGCATTCAAATATACCCATGGATGCAGCGTATGAACTCCCACAGTGGTAAGTTTTACAGCTCGGAGATATAAATTAAATAAACTGAACCATCTTTACGACCTTCTCCCTAGCAGAACAGGCTGAGCGACTTTTTATGGCCCCATAAAAACAATAATATAGCTCCTTCACAGTTGCAGCTACAGGCCTTTTATTTGTTAAGTTGTTGCAAGCAAATATGGCTTGTTATGCTCTTTCTAATTAAAAGACTTCGAGAGTGTAAAATATCTATAATAAAGTGCAGCGAGCTCTGCTCGGGAGTTAAGCACAAAATATTACTGGGGTAAAATAAGTTTTAATGATGGGGGCGGAAAGTGCGGTTGTGCTCCCCGCAGGACGAGGGGCACTTTGCCCCCCCCCCCCTCCCCACGCCCCCCCAAGCAACCCCAAATTGGCTGGAAAAGGAGAGAAATGGTGGAGGGAGAGGGGGGGGGTGTAAAAATGAATAATGAATAGTAAAAAGAAAAAAAAAAAAAGGAAAAATAAATAAATAAAGGGGAATTAAATAAAGGGAAATAAATAGAAAGGGGGAAATGAGTGAAAAGGGAAATAAATTAAAAGGGGAAATAAGTGGAAAGGGAAATGTAAGAAAGGAAATAAGTAAAAAGGGAAAATTAGTAAAAAGCAAAAAAGTATTAAAAATAAGAAGTAGAAAGGAGAAGAAGTAAAAGAAATATAAGTAAGGAAATATAAGTAAAAAAGAAAAATAAGTAAAAAATTACAAAATAAGTAAAAAATGAAAACATAAGTGAAAAGGGAAACATAAGTGAAAAGGGATAAATAAGTGAAAAGGGATAAATAAGTGAAAAGGGATAAATAAGTGAAAAGGGATAAATAAGTGAAGAGGTAAAAAATAAGTGAAGAGGTAAAAAATAAGTGAAGAGGGAAAGATAAGTGAAAAGGGAAAGATGAGTGACAAGGGAATGATAAGTGAAAAAGGAAAAAAAAAAGTGAAAAGGGAAAAAAATAAAAAATAAAGGAAAAAACCCTCAAATACAAAGAGATTTAAAAAAAAAGAAAAAAAAAAAAAAAAAGGCAGTATCCCGAGGGAAAACGTGCCAAGGGGGGATGAAAAAGGAGGAAAATGGGGGGGTGCCGGGGAGGGGGCGGCGGGGGGGGGGGGGGGGGCGTGGGGCGGCGCGGGGCTGCGCGGGGGCGGAGGGGCGCGGGCGCTCGCCCCCCGCGCTCACGATTTTTAGTCTGTTTTGTCTCGGCTCCCCTAGGAGTGGGCTACGGGGCCGACCGCCGGCGGGGCCGCCAGATTTATTCCCGTTACCAGACGCTGGAGCTGGAGAAGGAATTTCACTTCAACCGCTACCTGACGCGGCGGCGGCGCATCGAGATCGCCAACGCGCTCTGCCTGACGGAGCGGCAGATCAAAATCTGGTTCCAGAACCGGCGGATGAAGTGGAAAAAGGAGAGCAACTTGAGCTCGACCCTCTCCGGGGCGGGCGGTGGGGCAGCCGCAGCCGCCGCCGATAGCTTGGCCAAGGAGGAGAAGCGAGAAGAGACAGAGGAGGAGAAGCAGAAGGAGTGAAAAGGGACGCCCCCCCCCCAACCCCCCCTCTTCGACTCCCCCCCACCCCCCCAAAAAATAATAATACCCCCCCCCCCCTATTTATCACTGGCACAATGTTTGGCTACGGTTAAAAAAAAAAAAAAAAAAAAAAAAGGAAAAAAAAATGAATAATTATTCTTATAAAAGAAGAATAATGGGGGGGATTATTAAAAAAAAAAAAGGCTAATGTGGAAATGTGGAAACCCCCCCCAGCGCTCCCCACACACTTCACAACTCCCCGCTCTCTTCAGTGCCCCCCCCTTCCCCCCGCACACACATCGCCTATTTATCTCACTCGGAATAAGACTGTTTCCAACCGCACACTTATCCTCCCCCCCAACCTTCAGGCCCCCCCCTCCTCCACCTTCTGCCCCCCCCCCACCCCCCCAAATTGGGCTTGCGAGAGGCACGGCCCTGGAGACGGCCTCAGCCCCCCCCCCCCCCCCAGCTTCCCCTTCCGCCAGCCACACGAGTTTCTCCTCCCATGGTGAAAAATCTGAATCCCTGCGAAAGCTCCTTCCACGTAAATATAGCATTTCCGAGAGTACCCTACTTGTATTTAAGCAGATACCTGGGCTCATCACTGCATACAACAAACTGTGACAGTTTCTGTGTGAATATTTTTAACTGTGTTTGTGGTACCTGTATTTATATTTATGTTTAGCACTGTAATGTTCCACGGTATAAAGTGAATGGAGTTCTATAGCAGTAGAAGAGAAAAGAAAAAAAAAAAAATCTTGTGTTACACCCTCTCATGTATAAAGGTCATGTCCAGAGGACTATGTTGAGTATTTAATAAAAACTGAATATTATTTTTAAAGTTTATAGAATGGCCTCTGAGCTTCAGTTGAAACCTTTCATGTTGATAACAGCCTGTTAGAAAGTTCACTTATCTTCTGTGTGTTTTTCCTGAAAATCAGCTCCCTCTCCCCTTTTTCTCCCTCCTTCATACCTCTCTCATTCAAGAGTATTCCAAAAAAAAGGGGGAAAAATACATTTTGCTTTGTCTCCTTGAATTAGTCTTGTTACTGTATTGTTCGGTGGCATCAGGAATCTATGCCATACCTCTCGCTTCATGATTAAAATGGATTTCCAAAGTTCAAAACAGTATATATTTCTTATTGCAACCTCCTCAGTCAAACACCAGCTCCAAGGTTTTGATTCTTTTTATTAGCATTGTTATTATTTTGATTTAATTCGACCTCTCCAAAGCTGAGAATCTGCCAGCTCTGCGGAAGGATCCACTTCCCCTCAGCCCTATCTCGACCCAATAAACCTTTCCAGGGAGGGGGGAGTCACTTTTATCCAGAAACTCATCCTTGGGAGAGCGGAAATTGTCGATATAACGCTATGAAACAAACCCTTCTGATGGGAGTGCTGTGGATTGCAGGCTCGGATAATGTATTACGAAGGCTGGATAAGAAACTGCATTTTCTCTCCTCTTTGTCAGTGCTCTCCTATTTGCTCGGCTGTTCACTAGGTAGCACTCAGCCAGGGCTAACACTGCCCTGGAAGCTGCTTAGTCCCCTTCAAGTTTTTTATGAAACAACCAGGATTCGGTGTTAAGTGACCATTACCAGGAAAAAAAATAAATAAAAGGGAGAAGAAGGAAAAAAGAAAAAAAAAAAAAAAAAAAAGGAAAAAAAAAAAGCCCGGGGAGGATTTTTCAGCCCATCCTTTGCTCGTCTCCAGCCTGGAATGTGCAGGCGATTTTTGAAAGGCGCAGGAAAGACGAAAAAAATCTGTCTTAAAACGAAACAAAACAAGCAAACACCACCACCAACCACAAGCCAAGAGCGTTTTGCAAGAGGGTAGCGACCTGGACAGGGAGCAGGAGGCTCCCTGGGTGTAAACCATTTTGAATTTCAAAAAAAAAAAAAAAAAAGAAGGACAAAACCATACGTATATCCACCACCACACATATATAATTCAGCGTCTACAGAGAGAAGGAAGGCAATACGCAACACCCAGCGCATTGAAGGCGTTATCTAGGTATTGGATGGATACGGAATATAAAGAAATGTGCTCAGGTCTGTAATGCGGAGCCCGGAGCCGCAGCAGGCTGGGGGGCTCGGTGCTGCTCGTCTCCCACCGCACACACACCCTGCTCCAGTGCAGAAGGGAGGGCTGGAAAGTCAGATTTGGAGGCATTTATTTCCCTCTCAGTGCCCTTTGAAGAGAGGGCTGGTTTCTCAGCGAGCAGCAGGCAAGATCCAGGCTTCTGCCAGCAATAAATTGCAGGGGGAAAGGTAACAGGAATGTAAACTTTGGCGCATTGGAGGAGCTACATGCGAGGAGCAGCCCGTGCATAGCGCTAAGGAGCTTCCCCGACCGCCACCACTCCCTAAATCTGAAAAGAAAAAAAAAAAAAAAAAAAAAAAAAAAAGCAACGGGGAAAGTGCTTCCTTCCACCCAGCCAGCAAAAAAAAAAAAATACGCCAAGATTTATTACGCGGAGCCAACGCGCTGCTGCGAGCTCGCACCCACTCAAAACCGAGCCTTTCCCACGAGATGCGATTTGGGGATGCGCGCAAGGCGGAGGAAATAATAATAGTAATAATTAAGAAAAAAAAAAAAAAAAAAAGAAAAAAATAAAAACGTGGGAACGGAGGGATGGGGGGGGGGGCGCGGAGCTGCGCGGGGGGGTGCGGAGCGGCGGTGCGGTGCCGGGGCAGGGCGCTAGGTGCCGCTGCCGCCTCGCCGTCCCGCGGCGCGCTCCCCCGCGCACCCCCCGCGCACCCCCGCGCCTTCCGCGGCGCTTCGCGGGCGCCCATCAATAACCCGCCCGGGGTCATCAAGGCAAATTGATGACTGGCCGGCTCCTTCACGTGACGCCACTTAAATATCCCATATTTGGGCAGAGCATATAGGGGGAAAAGAAAGAAGAATCCCCACCTATAAATTCTGCACTTTAGGAGGAACAAAACGGCCCCCCCCCCCTCCTACCCCCCCACCCCTGAACTTCAAAGGGCCACAAATCACCCCAATCAAAGCGGTTGCACAAAAAAAAAAAAAAAGGGAAAAAAAAAAAAAAAAGGAAAAAATCCCCCCCTCCCCAAATTTTTCCCCCCCGTTTTTTTTTTTTTTTCCCCTCCTCCGCCATGAGTTCTTACGTCGCCAATTCGTTTTATAAGCAAAGTCCCAATGTTCCTGCCTATGCCATGCAAAGTTATGGAAATTATGGAAGTGTGCCTGAGGTTCAGTCATCCAGGTACTGCTACAGTGGCTTGGATCTAAGCATCACATTCCCCTCCTCTGGGGCTGCCAACTCTCTGAGCGGCTTGGACATGTCTGCAGCCCCCCGAGCTAACCCCGAGCGACCTTCCTGCACGGTCATGGGTTCTTCAGGGCATCCTTTAGCCAGAGACGACCAGGCACCTCTAAACCCCGGAATTTACAGTCAGAAGACTGCTAACACGGCGCTGGAGGAGAGATCTAAGAGCTCTGGTGAAATCAAAGCTGAGCCCGTGCAAACAGCACAACAAGGAGGACCACAACTGCAGCAGCAACAACCTCCACAAATTTACCCGTGGATGACCAAACTACACATGAGCCATGGTAAAACTTTCACTTCTTGATTTTGTTTCACAGGATTTGCCTTGGTTTTATAGGCCATACGGGGCAAATAATAAAAAACCTGAGGTCGTAAATTTTACGACTAAGGCATCAATTGCTCGTAAAACTGTCCACTAAAAGGCTTAGAGGCTATATACGCCCAAATTTATGACAGCATAATTGGATCATAGAAACAAAACGTGTATAAAAGGCAATATTCCATTTTTTTGGGAAGGGGGGGTTAAAAATAACTTGAAATACACATGTTCTTTTAGGGTGAGCTTTAAAAAAAGACACCAGAAGCGAAGGTGGAGGGAGGGAAGCGTGGGCAGAATTTTCCCCTCCACCTTCCCAGGTCTGAGGAAAAGAAAGGCGAGAGCCCCAAGAAAAGATATTTCCCTCCTTTGTACACTTCCTTATTGTCTGAGAGGAAACAGGTTCACTTCTGGCTAATCTACATGCGTTTGATCTGTGCCTTGGAAGGAAGGGGGGGACTTGGGGCTGAAGGTGTTGGGGAATGAAGGATTTCAGGCTCCTGCACTCCCAGCCTCCCTGCGTGACCAAAGCCCAAGTGCCCGAAGTGCCCCAGCAAACTTCTCTGTATCCCGCTGTTGTACCCCGATTTTATCCTTAACAAATAAAAAATAAAATAAAATAAAAAAATACAAAAATAAATCTCTCCAGATCGGTTTGGCTTTTCATGTGGTGTCTTGCGTTTTCCAGAAACGGATGGCAAACGGTCCCGGACCAGCTACACCCGCTACCAAACTCTGGAACTGGAGAAAGAATTTCATTTTAACAGATACCTCACCCGGCGGAGGCGCATTGAGATAGCCAACAACCTGTGCTTGAACGAGAGACAGATCAAAATATGGTTTCAAAACCGGAGGATGAAGTGGAAGAAAGATTCCAAGTTGAAAAGCAAAGAGGCTCTTTAGGTGGGCTCGCAGGAGATGGGGGTCCAGCTCTTTCCACGAGTTCTGGTGTAAGCTACCTTGAGGAAACTTTTATTTCGGGGTGGGGAGGGAGGGAGATGCTGAATGGACTCTGGTCCGTACCCTCACAAATCCGTCAGACAAAGGAGATCTCTTGTTAGTATGCAAAAACCCGCTGTTAGCTTCATGCAAAATTTAGTGTATCGCTCTTTAGGTTGTTACTAAGTGTCCTAACCTGTGCGCTCTTTGGGGAAAAAAAAAAAATCACCGTGAGGTTGCTCGAAAAAAAAAAAAAAAAGAAAGAAAGAAAAAGAAAAAAAAAAAAGGCTAAAAAATATATAAATCCGCAGGGTGGCTGGGTCGTGATCCGTCAGCTCTAAAAATTGCAATATTCATAGGAAAAAAAATAAAAATAGAAAAAAAGAATCAGAGAGCTGGCGAAGGAGGAAAAGAACAAAAAACCCAGAGCCAAACGCCAAGCCTGAAGTCCCAGCCTCCTCTTTGCCCTCTGCTCGCCCTTCTGGGGAAAGGAAATGGCTGGTGTGTGTTTGGGGGGCGGGGGGGGGTGAGCCCCCATCTGCCTGCCGGGATGCTCGGGCAGGACCCCCCCGCTCTGCTCCCTGAAGTCGGAAGGAAAATGTTGACCCTGGCTGCGGCTCGGCAAAGCCTCACCGCTGCCTCCCTGCACTTGTCCTCAGCCCCCCGCAAAGCCTCGCAGAGGGGCCGGGGGGGGTCCCCGGGGGGGCTTTTCGTGGCACTCGGATGGCGTTATTTTATTATTATTTGCATATAAAAGAAATGAATAGACCGGGAGACACCGGCTTGCGCGGACCCTCCGAAATCTCCGGGCAGGAGAGTGCAGCATGGGAGGTGGGGGAGGGAGAAATAGCCTCTGGACTTAATATTATTGTGTATTTATTTGTTGCGTAATTAATGTAGATTTGCTAAATGCTAAGATATATATTAAAAGGCCAAGGCGAACCCAGATTTGTACATCTTTGTCTAAATTCAGTCCATTGCAGTAACTTTTTTTTTTTCTTTAATTCCGCAATAATGTACTCGGTATATTTATTGGGTGCCGCTTCGTGTGCGAGAGGACCATGAAACTTATATTTTGTCATATGGAATAAACAGTAAATAACCCAAAAAGTTGGCGTGCCGGGCAGATGCCTTTCTGTGCTCCTTCCCCGTCTCGGAGCAGCTTTCTGCTCCTTCTGCTACTTTGGCAAAGTATTGATTCTTTATTTTATTTTTTTTTCTATTTTTTAAAAGCAGTTTTCGGGAGAGCAGAGGGTGGAGGGGTGCTTTAGCGCAGAATGTCCTTCTCCCCCTCCCCGGAAAAGGTACGTGCTGCTCTTCCTATTTCCCAGAGCTGTATTGGGAAGGGGGGGAAAAAGATTTTTTTTTTTTTTAGTGATTAGCTCCTGGCTGGGCCTTTATGGACGCGCCCGGTGAGCTGCTCATGTCCCAGCTCGGGCTTGTTTTTTTTTATTATTTTTTTTTTCTCTCGGGCTTTTCCTTCCAGGCTGGTGTTCTCGGCTGGCAGATGGCATTTTAATAGGAATATCGGTTTAAAATTACCCTGGGTCTTTCTCTCCCCCACCCCTTTCCCCCTTCCTCCCTCCTCTTCTCTCCCCAAATGTGTAGTCGGGGGGAAAGGATTTTGCCCAAAGTCTCGCAGCCGGTGCCTCTCTCCGCAGGTTGGGCAGCACCTGGACTCGGCAAGGATGTCCCAGTGCCTAACTGGAGGTGACTGGGATGGGCTTGGGGGGCGGTCTGGCGGGTAGGGGGGCTCCAGGCCCTGTTGTGTCCGTCCCCCCCCCAGCCTGGAGAGAGGCTTTGCTTTCAGGGATGCTCTGGGAAAAGGGGGAGCTACACCCCCCCAGAGCCCCTATGCTGGGCCCAGGGCTGATGGAGGTGCTGGGGTCAGGGCTGGGGGCTGCTCCCCTCCTCGCTTCCCTGCTGCTCTGTTCCCAAACACCTTTTCCTCGGCTTTTTCCAATATTTGTTGGTGTATTTGCTCTCTTCTAACGCGGAGGGCCTAATGCGGAACACATGGGCTCTGCTCCCGGGGTGGAAACACGCGTTGCAGCGGGCGTGCGCATCCGTCCCGGAGGCTCACACTTGGCTCCATATGGACTTCTCCAACCCTACAGCCATATGGCATAGGCGCGGGGCTGCGAAAATTTGTTTGTGTAGGGTCTCCCCGTGCCTCTCCACGTGCTCGCCGCCGCCCGCGGGCGCGGACGGCGGGCGCACAAACCCTATAGAGCCGCTCGTGCACCGCGGCGAGGTGCGCGCACACGTCCATACGTCTGCGGGAATATTTGCATAGAGCTGCACCTATATTTCGCAGGCACATGCCTCCGTGCACCCAGACACACACACACACACACACACACACTCAGGGTCACTCCTCCCGTGTCTTCCGAGCTCTTTACAGGAGAAACAAATGCTTGGAGAAGCCAATAAGCTCCATAAAACTTTATAGGATTTCCTTTACACAGCGGAAACAATGGAACAATTTCCTGAACCTGCAAACAAAAGTTTCTTCCAGCAGCAGCTCCGGCTGCCTTTACGGGTACAATTAGCACAGCGTGCTCAAGTGGGGAATCTCTCGCTATTATACGAGGCGTCCCGAGCCTGGAGGGCTTTTCCTTTCTATCTCTCTCTCTAGTTTTTTGCATTTATTTATGATTTGTGGACGTTGCGTTCTGGTTATTTGGCGAGTTGCGAGCCGCAAAGAATGCTCGCGCAAGCCCGGCGACATTTAATTTTCCTGTCATTTAACAGTCAGGCGAAAATCCCCATTTTTTGCTGTCCCAACTGTCACTTTGCCGTCCGTTTGGAGTGAAATACTGCAAAGCCAAGCAGAGCTCGCCTTGCACATTTATTTGCTGCCTGAGCCAGTTTTTGCTCACCACTGGGGCTCCCTGACTTGGGGCCTGGGGTGATTGCAGCGAGGCTGGTAGGGCTCGTAGCGATTCCAATCATTTCCTTTTAGGATTTTATTTTTTACCCATGCTGTGTAAATCTATTGACTGGTTGTTCAGGCACAAAAACCTCTTGGCGTGTACTGGTAATTGCTCGTTATTCCGTTCTATTTTCTCTTAAACAATGTATTACCCTCACTCTCACCGGTATTATTGCGCCGTCTCTTGATTATTATTTGTTTTCTGATTACATTTCGTACTTTAACAGCGCCTTTTCTCTCCCTTTTTAACCGGGAAGCTGTCAAGGCGTCTTGGTTTCGTCAAGGCAAGGGTTAACCATCTCGGAGACCACTCGTGTTTTATCTGCGAGAGCAGTCGAAAATAATCATAGTAATAATAATTTAAGAAACACAACCCTAAGACTTTAAAATTCAAACTTTCGGATTTCCACCCTGCGGAGCGGAGGCAGTTACTTATGATTAATTATTCGCTCATCCTGCCCTGGGGAGGGGGGCGAGGGGGCCCGGGGGGCTCTTTGGACCCCTCGTCCCTCTCTTCTTTAGGGGTATTTTGCTCGGGACTGGTTGATGGTTGGTGGATGTTGTTGCTGGTGCTGTCTTGAAGAGATTTGCCTTTTATTTCCCCTCTCGGCTGCTCAATCCCTTCCCAAAGACTCTGCCGAACAAGAAGGAAATAGAAAAGGACTTACCTTGCCCCGTCATCCGTGTCAACCCAGTGAGAACTTAAAATGGCCCAAAAACAACAAACAAACCAAAGTTGCATTTTTTTTATATAAATCCAGGACTTTTTTAAAAAAAGCAAAGCTCTTTTAGTTTCACCGAGAACATGAGAACATTAGCAGAAATACTCATGGCTTCTATGTGAATTTAGTAGTTTAAAACTTTTGAAGGTTATTTATGTGGATGGCCCTAAGCAAAAGCCCTGAATGGCTCTCAGGGAGCACGTGATGTCATTAAACTAAGTTTTATGGTTTGGGGGAGCTGACAAACCCACAATATATTTACATCATATATAATCTTAACTGTCCACCATCGCAGCTGCTAGAGCTGTTTAATGCTGGGACAGTGGGACAGGCGCTTAGTGCGGAGCGCGGCGGCGGCGGGGCTCCAGGCGGAGCGCGGACCCCGAGCATCCCCCGGCGACCTCCGTAAGTTTTGCCTCGCTCGCACTTTTCCCCGGCTCTCCTTCCGTATTATTTATTTATTTATTATTTCATTTATTGTTGTTGTTGTCGTCGTTGTTTGTTTGTTTGATTTTTTTATTTAATATTATTTTGTTCGTAGAATTGCAAACTAAAATTAGCCTCTCCCCCCCACACCCCACCCCCCCCCACCCCTCCTCCTTCTTCCGTGGGAGTTGGGCAGGAATGCGAGCAGTTTTGCAAGGGGCGAGCTGCAGGCGAGCATCTTATCGGGCAGGAATCTCAGCGCCTCTCCCCTCCCCAGGGCTGCTGGAGACGAGATAAGGCCAAAGAGGTCTCTATGGTACTGGTTTAGCAACCCACTCCCCCCCCCCCGCCAGCCGGCCCCCCCAGGGCACAGCCCGAAGGTGCATGGTCCCCAGTTCCCACCCCACCCCCGTGGCGAGGAGTTTAAGCGGATTTCTTCATGTCTGCGTGGGGTTTGGAAATGTATTTTATTTATTTATTTATTTATTTATTTACTATTTTCTTCTTTCCTCCCCGTGCGGTGAGAGTTGGGCTTTGCAAAGAGAGGAGGGGAAAGGAAAAAAAAAAAAAAAAAAAAAAAAGGAAATTAAAAAAAAAATCCACCCCTGACGAAGTGCATGCGCGGAGGCGGAGGCAGGCGGGAGCGAGGCCGGTGCAGGTGAGCGGAGGTTGGGCCGCTCCCGAGGCTGCTCCGGGGGTGTCCGGGCCCCCCCACTCCGTGTACCGAGTTTCTCCCCCGTGGGGTGGCCACTCGTGGAAAGCGGCTGCAACCCCCCCCCACGTCCGAGTCTGGGGAGCCCCCTGTGCTTGGAAAGCTCTGGAGGCCCTGGAATCCCCCCCCCAAAAAGCAAAAAGAGGATGTGGGGTCCCGTCGGGGGGGGTCAAACTTGCAGCAGAGCCAAGGAACTGGGGGGGGTAGACCCCAGTTCCTTGGCCCCATCGACCCCCACTTTGGCGTCACCCCTGCGTGGAGCCAGTCCCGGGGGGAGCAGTGGGGCACCCCCCCCGTTATTTTCCACGGGAGTCCTGCTGCTCTGGGTGCTGGGGGGGTGATGCTCAGCTTTGTGCCCCCCCCCACCCCCCGGGCCTGCACCCCTCTGCTAGGCCCCGTCCTCCTGGGTTTATCCCAGGCCTCAAGCCTGGCGTTGAGGGGGGGGGCTGTGGATGCTGTCCCCGGGGGTCCCACGATTGGTGGTGTTCTGGGGGAGCTTCAGGTTCCTAATGCGGGTTTTGAGGGGGGGGGGGGGGGTGATTCGCCTGGATCAGTCCCCCCACAGGCCTGGTGGCACTGGCTGGGACACGCGTGTGACACTGGGAGAGTGAGTTTGACTGGGGGAACGAGGGTTTTTTTCTGATGGGGGGCTCCGTGCCCTCCCCCCCCCATAGCGGTGAGGGAGCCCCCCAGAACTTTACGCGCAGGAGATGCCCCGGGAAGTGATTTCCACCTGGGAGCAGCCACCCATGTGCACCCACTCCCTGTTACACCCCCGTGTGCATGCGCAAACGCACTCGTGCACACGTGTGTGCACGGATAGGCGTGCAAAAGGCATGCACACGCGTGCACACACACGTGCAAGCAAGCAAATCCTGCATAAGTGCATAAACACTTGCACAGACGTGCAAATGCACCCGCTTGCACACGTGCAGGCACACGGTTGCACGCTCCTACGCATGCACACAAGTGTGCACGTGCTGACAAAGCTGTGCACCCCCACCCCCCCGCTAAAATGCGTGCACACGCACGGGGCCTTGCATGCACACAACCCCCCCATCTCACGTGTGCAACCTCCCTGTGGGTGCAGGAGCTCTGTGGGTGCTGAGCCCCCCTCGCAGGGACCCCCACTGAGCTGGGAGCAGGGGAGGGGGCTGCCCCCCACCCTGAGGTGCACCAGGGGGTAAGAGCAGGGTTGCAGACAATTTGGGCAGGGACAAATTTGGGGTGGGGCTGGAGCCAGAGGCAGGGGCACGATGACAGAGTTAGGGACCCCAAAAATAATCTCCAGAGCCCTGTGGGGGGGTCAAGCCCC